CCTTTATGCATATCTTTATGTCTTAATGTGTCATTATGCCTTTATGCATATCTTTATGTCTTAGCATCTTTATGTATCTTATGAATGACAGAATGTCAACTTAAAATGGTTTATTTTCATTATTTCAGAATTGAATGTTGTTGATCAATAAAACGATCTATCATATCTATACATCGAGTGTAGTTGCCAAATTCTCGTCTTCGTCGGCCTCGACAATGCGCGTTAGTGCGTCTTACGAATGCGACATATAAACTATACGGATAAACATGATGTAACATGACGTGAGAAATTGTTAATAGTTATAGCGTAATATATAGTGAAACATACAGTGGTGCAATCTTGTGAACATACAGTATACATACCGTGGTGCACACACTCGTGCGTGATACAAACGTGTGTGTGTTAACTACATGGTGACAAAATGCATCGCCTGTGCATCATTATCCTTATAGACTATGGAGCGTACTTAGTCTATATCTGCATATTAATTAGCATAACGTTTTGAGCGAGGGAGTGTTTTCATCTCCACTTCCTCGTTATTATCCACACTCTCTAGCGGATGTGCTCGTACTCTGTGGCGCATTTCATTCCCCATTTCTTCAGGGTGCACTGTCGGATAGAAACGCTGCGGAACGAAGGGCGTGGTTGCATTAACCGGTTGCAATAGGGGTTGCACAGTGGGTTGGAGAATGGTATGAGTCGCTGTGGTACCGGTGAATGACTGGCACAGGCGCGGTCGAAGATGTGGTGGAGTGCAGCAACAATATAACACAACAATTGCTATGATAGCGATGGCAACATAGATAACTATTTGATGCCACTGTATGTGTGCACTTTGAACGTTTTCTGGGCCGCTTCATTCGTATCAAGAATCTGAATATATCTGAAATAGATCTGAGATAGATTTTTATCTGAATAGATCTGAAATGTTTTACCTGAGCATGTAGCTCTCTGGCGTGCCTCTTGTACTGCCTCCTCAGCCACAGGCTAACTCTTTCTCAGCATTGGTGGTGGTGATAGTGATTGTGACGGCAGCGAGCACCTCTCCGTTGCTTTCTTTTTTTTTGCGGGGGAGAATCATCCAGGTCACTGTTTTATTCAGCGATGTACCTTAAAGTAGGCCTATAAAGTAGTGAGACAGCATGTTATTTGTGTAAAATACTCTAATTATACGGCTTTTTGAACCGTACAATGAACAATCAATCATCATGAATAAAAATTTTTAACACATCCACAGTTACAACAAATCAATATTGGAGAATTTATAAATTAATTATTACAGAAAAGTATAATAAATGCTGCTTACATTTTCTTTCTTTTCTGTGTATCACAGTCCTCCTCTGACTGCAGGTCGGATGTGTATTCAGCCTTTCTCAGCTTTTGCCGAGCCTTCTCGTAATTACCTGAATGATGAATCATGTAAATATAGGGTGAAATTGTTGCAGTTTGTGGTGACCCAATACCAATTCGACATTTAGCATTTATACATTGGTTGCAACTTTCTACGGTACATTGGTACATTGCTTACAAACGTTTACAACAAAATTTTTAGGTAATGTGTGCATGGTCATGTTTAAATGTTATATTACATTAAACAAATGTAACACCTACTCATAACTATCACAGAATGACTCTACCGTGGAATTTCTCTAGGGCAGACTTTTGCATGGCACCATACATTTCATTAACTGACGGCACAGCATACAATCTTTGTATTCGAAGGAACTGTGCTCTCACTAATGCAACCAGCATTAATGCATTTCAAGAAAAATATGCTGAAGAAAAGATGCATTTCTAAAGTTGTTCCTTGAATACAGAGTGTCAGCTGCAACCGTCAGGTCTCCCAGTCTCATCCAGTTAACCAACGGCTGTGACCTCCAGCGCGATACGAAGCGAACGAATGGACACTACTTCGAGTGTGTGTGTGTGTGTGTGTGTGTGTGTGTGCTCGCGCGCGTCAGTGTGTTAGATGAGCCCTAGCTCACACTGGGGTTGCGGTCTCGTTCGGTGTAATGCTGCGTGACTAGGATTGGATCGTCGACCTATGAGTTAGACTATATAGGGTCTCTATATTTGTATATAGAGACCCTAGGTTAGACCATTAGACGATGCATGGTACCTGCAATGCAGCATGCATGGTAGGGAGGATTGAATTCAGCTCTCGGCCGGAGGAGTCTGCATGGTTGAGTTGAGATATCACGGAACTGGAGGTTATGAGGTAATTACGTATTTGGTAATGTCATAGAAATGATAATATAGATAGATAGGTAGATAATATCAGAAGTAGATACTGAATAGGGGATAGAGGTGTGGTTCACTATTATCTACTTCTGATAATATAACTGTTTTTAATGCATACATCAATTCCCTTAAAAACGTTATCAAAAATACTACGTGTTTGTAAATACCATAGAAATAATTTAGATACCTAATATCAGATAATATAGAAACATTGATAATTCGTCTAATATATTTTTATGGGCAAGGCACAGCGGCGGCGCCACTTATGCCACGCGGTTGCAAATGCGCGCGCATGAGCATGTATCGGCCTTCGGCGCGGAAAGTTTGACGCAGGTGAAGTGAAAGGTACGTCAGCTGTTATTTTCGAGTTCCTTCCATGTAACGGTATTATCATAGACTAAGAATAAGTTATTATTCGTGTATAGTATATCGTGCGCGTACGCCACGCACCACAGTTACTACAGTAGTTACGCCGTTAAATCATTCCAATTCGGTGGAAGGAATGCAAAGGTTCCAGTACTCAGTACAGTAGCTGAGTAGGCTATAGTCGGTATGGCCTACGTTGCCGAGTTGGCAATTGTTAGTTACTTTTACCTTTACTTTTAGCCGGTATCACTAGGATACTAGAAAGTCGGGTTCATGGATATAAGCGCTGACGACAATTCATTTTCGCAATGTGCGACATGTGCAAATGTACAAATATGGACAGCTCGAGTCTTAGTCTTATGTTATGGCCTTGTGCCGAAAGTCACACTACCGAAACTAGATACTATAATGTAACCCAAACACAGGATAGGGTTACAACGCGAGCCTATTTTTTTCTTTGGAGGAACCCCTGAGTGAATCACTCAGGGCAGTTTGCTTGTGCGTTTTCAGAGACTAGAACTTCCAAACTGGGTTTATTCTCAAAACAAACCTTTCTCCGCTATCCTGGGACTTACTATGTATTACATACTCTGTATTAAATTATTATAACCTGTTACAAAATTTCGAAGTGATGAGCGGTGATATTTCGAGCGCCATTTTGTTGACCTGTGACTTACATATTCCCAACGCGCATAGCGCCCATAAACCGGCATAAACTGCCCTGAGTGATTCACTCAGGGTTTCCTCAAAAGAAAAAAATAGTCGCGTTGTAACCCTATCCTGTGTTTGGGTTACATTATTGTATCTATACCGAAACCGGCCCACCAAGCGCACCCGGCGCACCAAGCGTTTGACGTCACGTTCACGTAGGGGAAGTGTGTGAAGCTGTTTTCGATATTATATATGTTATGTCGTAAGGTATTATTAAGCTACTGTGCTAG